GAACTAAGGAATGTACCTCAACTGAATATCTACCATAAAAATAACAATAAATAAGTAATAGTCTAACAATGTTTTGTCTGTGAGATAAGGGTTGCAGAGTGGATATGAACTCTGTCAAGACTGGACAGTGAGAACTGGGCAGCAGCTGCCCAAATATGGCAGCAATATTCCATTCTTGGTTTGATCTGACTCTTGTAATGATAGAGCATGGCAACAGGTGTTATATATTTTCTGGAGCGATACCAGGAACTGACCATTCTTCCAGCATCTTTTGCAATGGCACAAATATTTGTGTTCCATTTGAAATTCCATGGGAGCTTTAGACCCAGTAGTACTTCAAGGCAATGAGCCTCTTTGAGAGTATGGCCACTCCTCACGATTAGTGCAAGTTTACAGTCTGTTTGTTGGTGACAAAACTTGAGGTATTTGTTAGCTAAATTTTATTCAGACATCATTAATTGGACATAAGACATGTAAACAGAATGTGCTTTATAAGACACCAAAAATTGTAAAATTTATATTTATTTTTACATTTTATAAATTATAGGATTGCTGTTTTCATTATTTTCAAGTGAAATTTCATTCTGGTATATTTGAAACTTTAATAGGATTTTATTTTTATTAATTTAGAAATGTCTAATTTACATCTGATTAAATGATAACACTTGTTACACTACTGTTGAATTCATGTATTATTTATATACAAGATATAAATACTTTAGAAACTCCAGAATATTTAAGAATTCAAAATATTGAAAATGTAGCAAGAGTATCATAAAAGCAATATGTGTACAATGATCACTAAGGACCTGTGAAATAAGTGATTTTTAACAAGTGGAAATAAATTGCTAAAGTCTCTTCTCAGTTTTTATGTTTTATGAAGCCTGAATTATAATTTCATCACTTCCTGTAGTTCCTTATTTAAAGAATACATGTGCTAGTGTTAAAATATATTTACTGTATGAGTTTTGTGTGTGTAGGTGTCAAACTTTATATACTCTCTTCAATAATATTTTTACAACTCTCTGAATCGTCAGGTTCTCTGTTGAAAGTACTCTGTTTGAAACCTTTGGTCCTAAGCACTCTGACATAACTGGAATTTATAGCTGAACATAATTTATGAGTGATACATCATAGTACAATATTGGATTTGCTATTATTTTAATTTAACTTCCTGCTATTTAGTGATATCATACTTTATTATTAATCAACATTGAACCTTAAAGAAAAACATGTGGTATACAAAAATTACCACTACACAATTATATAGGCTTGTACAGGTATTTGATTTTATACAGGAGAGAGAGATTTGAATTGGTTATCAAAACAAGCAACAATAAAATCAATGGTGAAATTGCATTACAAAATGTACAGGGAACAATTAATTAAAAAGTTAAATTTAATGTTAATGAAAAAAAAGCAAATGTTGCAAATAAATTTTTTTTTTCATTTTTTAATGTCTTGATATGTTTGTAAATATTAATATTTTTCTGCCAGTTGTTATGGAAATTATATGATAAAAGAAATTTTGTCTTCAAAAGAAAAAAACTAACCCAAAATATTTGTTGATCATGTTTAACTTGGTTTTTCTATGCTTTACATTACTTTGTGTGAAAGAAAAAAAAAAAGCAATCCATAGAAAAAAAAAGCCCTGAAGATTTTGTGTTTGTGTGTTCAAATTAGTGACAATTGAAAGTTTTTTTGTTTTATGGAAAGTTTACTACAAATCTATTATAGATATTATAATTTAGCTATTTTAAATAATTATTATTAGAAATTTTATGCCCTTTTTCTTTTGAGAAGGCTTTGTAATAGAAATATTTTAGATTTACTGCTATTTTAATTAAATTTATCGTGGTGATAACTGAATGACTACTCAGTAATATGGTGCATTCAAAGAGAATGCCATGGCAGAACTACTATTTTGCACACTTCCACGTCATTTTGTCAGAATTTCTAATATATTAAACGGCTTCACTGAATTAGATTAGTTAATTTAATTCCAATTTCTCAGCATTTGAGGAAAAACTCCATTAGTTCTTATGCTTGAAACCTGGATTTTTGAGAGAAAGTACCAACACGAGTTATCTTTTATTCACTAAAGTTGAAGTCAAATACTAACTAAGACATAAAAGAAGAATAGGGAGATTGTGTTGTGCCAATCTTCCAAGTAGAATTAGCTTGTCTGCTTTGAAAATCGGCATTTGAAAATCTTGGTTCTCACCTGGCATCAAACATTGAACATTAAGCATTGGTGGTGGTGAGAGAACAAAGAACTCACTGTGATATCTTGATCTTTAGACTCTTTGGCAGGTGGTTCTTCTTACCATAAATGTATGTTGATTTTGAAATTAAAATCTGAAATCTTAGTTCAAATCCTAACTCTGAATACTTTTATTATGCACTCTCTCTCTCCCTCTACTCTGCTAGATAAGGTCACAAAACATTACTCGATGTCAGAAAGCCCAGTTATAAATATTGATAGAAATGTTAAACCATTTTTTTCCATAATAGAAATACACTTGGTACAAAAAACATTCCAAATTAAGATTGAGTGACATTTTAAAATTATTTTAACTTTATTATGGATGATTCATAAAAAATTTGAAATATTTTTGCTCTATGAAGCATGGTAGAAAAAAAATTGTCCAGTGCTCTACATACAAGGCTGAGAATATGATGAATGAGATATATATTTCAAAACTAATTTACTTGGATTTGGACTTGCTCTTTTAGCTCTGTATTTCAATCAACAGATAATTTGGTGAAATTTGTACAAAACAACTCATCTTGATGGAATTCTGTAATTCAAGAACTATACCTTATAGACTCTGTAGCCGGTATTAGGTAGTGGAAAATTACTGCTGTAATATGCCCTAGAATATAACAAATGTTAAAATCCTTTGAAAAGATGGGTACTGTCAAATTTTAAAAGAACTTTGATATACCTCAGGATAATTTATACTGCTTTTAGTTTAAAAGTGACATATATACATATTTTAATGAGTTGTATTAAATTCAATCAACAAGATCTAATTTTTTATTGTATTTTTCCAGTTTTCAAATAGGTTGTTGCTCATCCAGATCAAAATTGAAGATAAACTGTCCAAAGATCATGTTTCTATTAGAGTAGTTTTGAATCTCTCAGTCATTATCAAGGACATCTATATCTTGGCATTTTTTTCAATATCACATTTTTTAACAAACAAAAATATAAGAAACACAAGATATCTTGTCTATGGTACTGACATTACTTAGTTCCTGCTAATGACAGAGATAGAAATTTTTTACAAAAAAATAGACTTGTGAGTTTATTCACAATTTTGATCTAGATGTGCAACAACTTAATGAAATACAATAAAATTTAAACTGATCTTGTTGATTGATTTAAAGCTGTTAATATGTTTAAATGAATTCTTACTGCCTTGTATGCTTTCTGATCAAAGTTAATTTTCAGAAATATTTAATATCTTTTAAGAAATTTTTTTTCTTAAAATTGTGATACTTGCATTTAAAATTGAAGTTCTGCTTTTTTTTTTTTTTTTTCTACAAATTATTAGATAATCAATTATCTACATAAATTCTTGCAAATCATGTCTGTGATAATATGGGTTTATTAATCAAACACTTGCCTAAGAACTATTGCCCACTTTAATCCAATCAACAATGTCACAATGAAATCCTGAAAAGGGAGTATGAAAATGAAACCATCCTTTTGACTTGAATCCATTCTATGTAGGGAAGGTTTTTTAGTTTTCCCCTTGCTTCCCACCCACTATACCACTACTCTCCTATTTTACTTATTTTCTGCAGAAGTAAACTAAATACTTTTGGCAGTAGGGCAGAAGGAAATTGATTAAACACTGAATTTTTGTGATTTTTTTTTTTTTTTTTTTTTTTTTTTTTAAACATTTTCGGTATTGAATTTATATATTGTGCATTGAAGATAAGGTGTTGTTGGTGAAAAAGAATTAATGGAAGTAATATATGTCTTCAGAGTAGGTAAAATAGATTTGTTGACTCATTAATGCTCTTTCATAATATCAAGCATTAATTATTACTGCTTGCCTTAAATATGTTATCTTCTAGAATTACCTTGGTTAACTGATTTTGTTATGCCTACACTTAATTAGATCTGTGTGTTGATTGTGGTTTGAATGTTGCAAATTGTTAGGAGTCAGTTGAACAATGAAAGTGAACAGATTCTTATCATTAGAAAGATGGATACAGTTTTTTAGATGCTGTTGATGAATATCTTCAACCTATCCTCTTGTGTGTGGCTTGTCTCCCTGCTGAAACCACAATCATGCTAAAGAGAGGAAAGCTTGGATGAACATCAGATCTCTTTACCATTCTACTGCCACAATTAGGTTTTCCATGCATTTTTCAGACTTGTATTCGAACTTCACTGTCAGGATTCCATGTCCATGGGGAGTTCAAATCATACCAACTGAGTTTGAGTTCTCTAAGTTCTGGCCAGTATTGTCTGAAATTACAGTCATCATAATTATCACTTTGTTTTGGTCATCTAAGCATTCTGTAACAGTGTGTATATGTCATCAAAAATAATAATCTAATTTAAATATGAAGTGTTTTTTTCTCTTTAAATCTAAAAAGGAAAAAGTACTAAAATCTTTTTTTTTTTTTTTTTTTTCAAAAATAGGTCAGGGCTTATGATTGAATCACTAGATTTGTTGTTTATATTATCTGAGAAAAAATTAAAATCTGTGATGTTTCTCATATTTCAACAGAGGTCACATTCCAATTAGCCCATGTAATTTTTGTTTTCCTTCCATTCTTTTTTTTCTTTAGTCTTTCCTGTTTACTGTGGCCAAAGGTCACATAAATCCATAATCAAAAGCCTTGTCTAAAGTCTCAACCCACTAGTTCGGTTTTACTTTAATGTACACAATTTTACCATCTATTTTGTGTGTATGTTTTCTTTGATTATTTGCACTTAGTTTCAAGTACCAATTCTTGGCATTCTATTTTATCTTCAGTTGTTGGTGGTGTTTTGTCTGTAACTGGAAAGATGAGTTTAGCAGCAGCTGAAGTTATGGTGCATCAACTTGCTGAGTTGATACATTACCAGAGTAAGTAAAAAAAAAAAAAAATATATATACTTTTGATATAGAAATTGTTGTTCAGATTCTTATACTTCTAAGAAAAGTTGTTTATTTGAAAAATCAAACAAACCCATATCTGGTCAAAATAAGTCCTGAAAAGTAATGTCTTTTTCCATGTTTTTCAAAATCACACTTATGTTTAAATAAGAAATTTTCTAAATTTTTAGCTAGTTTTATGATCCTATATTAAAATAGTTATCTTTTATGTGATTTAAAATTTTTAACAATTTTGAAGTATCATTCATTATTGTACATTGTTTACAATTCAACAAGTTTTAAATGTTAAAAGGAATAATGAAAATATATGAACTTTAACAATTTGTCAATGAAATAAAATGCTAATTTATTCTATCTTGTGGGTACTTGTTGAACATGAATTACAGATAGTTATGGTTGTAATCCAAAAATACCATTTCAATTCCATTTTCTTTATCACAGATTCACTGGTGATTTTGTTCTACTTCTTATAGCTTTGTATATTTTTCTGTGTCATCCCCAATCCTTCAAAAAAAGCTTCTGTACTTCATTTTTATTGGATAAGAGGCACTTCAGAAAAGAGTATCAATGATGCATCTGTTCTAATAAAAATGCAGCAACAGTATTTACGTTTTTTTTTTTTTTTTTTAAGTTAACTTTCATATTTTCCTGATGGAGAGAGTTTCTCCTTAAAAAAAAAAGCTGGATATATTTGTCAGCACTAAATTTACAGTTTCTGATGAAAAAAAAGCATTTATTTTATACAACAGATATTTTTTTAACATAATCTTTGTTTTACTAGTGCATTTATTTCAATGGTGAATAATCACATCTATCATATATAGTGAAAATTTCAGATAAAAATTTTAAGTCCATGTGTTGTTGTAAATTTATTGATCCACCTACTCTTGTTTCATAATTCCTGTTTTGTCTCAAATATATTTTTGTGAAATTTTGAACAGAAGTTAATGTAGTTCTAAGTTTCACTGATTTGATTTGTATATAAAACAATAAAAAAAAAAACAACAAAAACATGTATTCATTGTAGAGAAAGTTATATTTAAAAATGAAATTGATTTTATGGATTAAAAATAGTCAACAGATAGCATTTGCATATCTGATAACAAGTTGAAATTTTTTTGTTGTTACTTTCAGTTTTTGTTAGTAAAACAAATTATTGTCTGGAATATTAAAAGTTGCTCATCATCCAGAAACTGATAAAATTTTCTATATCAAACAAATTATGTACATGAGCAAAATAAATTCCTGAATTTGGATCAGGCAAGAGACCCCCCCCCACACACACACACCCCAGATAAATTACCATTTGTTTATTTTTGTACAGGTACATAACTTACATTATCTTATCAAAGGTATTTTTTTATCTTTAAGGATGATGTAAAATCTAACTGGTTTTAACTTTACAGATAGCAGTTAAATCTTCCAATGTCGTGTTTGCATTTTTAAAATTAATTTCTAAGTTACCTAGAAGTAGAAAAATTATAATTTCCAGATTCTCATGCTTAGAAAATAAGTAAAAATCTAATATATATGTATTCTCTTTTCAAGGTTTATCTTGTATTTAGAATTCTTAAATATTGGAAACAATTTTCAGTGCATCATATTAAAAGTTTTCTGAATTCATCAAAGCACGTTTTTCATTTTATTTGTGAACTTTTAATATTTGACTTGAACTTGTGTAAACATAAGTCACTTTCTATCACTCACCAAGAAGACAAATCACCCTGACGTTATCTTGATTCTTATTTATATCTGAGTGTACAAAAACTGGGGAAGGTTTATTGTACATTCACAAGGAAATAATAAAAAAAAATGGTAATTAATGCAGTGATGGAAAATGAAGAAATGAATCCTGTTTCCAATATATTTGGTTCTTTTTTTTATTCAGGGATTTGCTTGCATGGTCTGGTGGGTAGGTAGGCAACAGTTGGGACAACAACTACTTCTGTCATGACAGACTAACAAATCTATTTTTTCTTCAACCACCAAAAACTCTTACTTTCTCCTACCACTTCTCTACCCATTTTTTGCAAGTTGCCCATGGGTGGTTTGAAACTAAATCCAAAATCTCTTCCTATTCTAACAGTGAATGTTTATATAACCTGCAAGTAGTACTTACCCCCAAAGTTTTTCAGTTATTTATCTATTTATTTAGTCAAGTTGGTGCTCACTTCAAAGATCCTACTTCATAGACTACACTGCTGGTCACAAGATACTTAAATCTCTGAGAATAGAATTTAGTTTTATATCTGGGTGTCATACTTCGAAAGATTATGCTATTAAGGCACCTTTGCAATTAATTCAGTTTTCTGTTTATAATCATTCAGTTATATCAGGTCATGTCTTATAAATATGTTAGTGGCTGAGGTAGTTGCATATTTTAAACAAATGATAGTAGTAAAATGGCAGGATTTCAGATTTTCAAGACAAGCTGGCCTTCTCTAGTGAGAAATTGAGTGCAACACAATCTTCTTATTGTTTTCCCATGTTTGGTCTTTTGACGATATTCAGTCACCCCCCCCCCACGAGGGTGTCATGTGGTACAAGGCCTTTTTAATGTGGGCAATCCCGAGCCATTAGGCTCGGCCAAAAAATAGTCCATTTGAACCCGTATAAACAGGTTCAGGGCTGGTTTTACCTCCCCGAAGGAGTCTTCGCCCTTCGGCGTAGCCTCCTTCGGGTTCCTCCCGCCCGTAGGAAGAGAGTTTAACCGAACAGTCGGTTCAGACTTGTTTGGTCTTTTGACAGTAACTAATCTATGTAAATATTTACATGGGCTCATGTTCATAACATATTTCTCATGTGAGATTGATTACACTGTAACACGGTTTTTGTCCTTGGATAGTAAATGTTGTTTTCTATTTGCTTACAACTAGAAAGCATGAAAACTGGCTAATATTTCCTTAAAACTTTGCTTTTTGTGATGAGAATAATGATATTTCTGAAGTTGACCATTTCCCATTGGGAAAACTGGCAAATGTGAACATCCTTGTTCACGCAAAGTAAGAACAAAACTACATATGATTCAAAAGTAGCATTTATTCAAGGATTACACAAGAGAGACCAGAAAAAAATTAGAAGCAAGTAATTTTTTTGCAATTTACACTTATATCGTAAATTATTTTTCTGAATCAGCCCTCAAACATTAAAACCAGAAAAGAGTGCAACTCAGTCGCTGTCAAGCCGAGCTGTTCACAGAATGGATCCTTCATGACCCCCACCCCTCCACTAATTCACAATACAAGGCTTTTCTGGGCCATGAAAGTTCATTGGGCCAAGGAACAATCCTCAAGGTCACTCAACATTCTTTAAGGAAACTCTACTGATTCTGGGGCTTATGACGGCACCTCTGCTCTAGAAATGGGAGAAGTGATGGTAAATTTAAGGAAGGTGTCCCTAACACTACCCTTCAAGATCAGGTCCTCTGTCAAAGCGTGACATAGAAAAGCTAACCTTCAGGTATGTTGATGACTCACCAGGTGTGGCAATCCCAGCCCCCATGACATGGACACTGAACACAGACTTCTCTGTGGACCTTCTGCGTGCAAGCACTCCACAAGAAGGTGGACAACAAGTGCTCAATCACCTTCCTGAGGTCCTTGCAGAGAGGAAATATGTAAGTGGCACAAACTCTTTTAGAGCTAAGTCTGGACTGCTACTCCAACCTTTATCTGTACTTCTGATCTGTTCTTCCCTAGCTGGAGTCCAGAATGTGGATGGGTCCATCAATCCAACCAAAGAGCTCTAGAAGAGCAACCCCCTTCCAGGCAACTAACCACAAACTGGAAGATTTGTTGTGGTTAAAATTGGCCCCAGTGACCTTTTTGTACTGTTCAGGTGCCTTCTGTACCACCTCAGTGTTACTGCAGCATAACACGAAAATGGATATGTCATTGTCGTACATTGTTGAAATCCTGGCTTGAGCTCCACCTGAGACAACAGTTGCATATAGGGATGAACTGCTCAACCCGTCCCTCAGCCAACAAAGGTGAGGCTCCATTGCCAAATTGTGAAATAGGACTGACAGTGTACAGCCTAGATGAAATGACTGAGACAGTGCAAAAGCATGCAACTGCTTTGTTTTCCTGTACCTCAGTACTGGCGGAGCAATACTAAATCTACCTGCAGAAGTCTGGTTTAAATCCAGCGGCCTGCAGGACATTTGCTATATTCGATAGTGAAGGACCCAATCCTATCCTTAAGTCTCTCCCACCACCTATTCCCAATAACAACACCCACTGGTTCCCACTGCACTAGACTAATTAGCTGTTGTCAGAAATCCTACCTGTCCAGTAAAGACAGATTGAACTTCTACTATTTAGCCATTCTAGGCCCAGCATCTAACAATATCCAGGCACAGATGAGTCTATGGTCTTGAATAGCCTGACTAGTGAAACATGGGACAATCTATTAAGTCTATATTGGCCCTTCTCACTAATATTCTATCCAGGTAGCTGGCTCCTTAAGTGTTGATGTCCCCATCTTCTGATCAACCCAGTATCTATCAACAAGACCAAAATCGCCAATCAGATCCACCAGGATACAATTACTCAACCACCTGCTAGCTCCCTGGCCCCTGACTATGTTTGGATCCAGGATGGCATTCCAGTCCCCCACTAAGATTAAGCTTGATGGATCCACCAATGATGGCCCTAACTGACAGAAAAATGAGACCCACTCCATCTGATCATTGGGTGACAAAGCATCAACATGGACAAGGTCCACCCTTGCACCTAGAGTATGTTTAACTAGCAAGGAAACACCTCTGTGCAGCTGGTCCGTGTATGCTGAATAGACAACATAGTTGCTAGACAGCACACAAGCATTAATCTTGCAAACAAAATGTGTTTCCTGGATTACAGCCAAATCTATGCTGAAGGACAGAAGATCATGAAGCAAGTGGTCAGCCTTACTCTGATCCCTCAAGCCCCTTGCATTCAAACTAGCTATCTTGAGAAACATTTGTCAAG